AGAATAGTTTGTTTTGTTATTGGTTGGTTGGTGTCTTATATGAAACTGCGACATTGCGCAATTTATTGGACAGACTTGTTTAAGATCACACGGCGTAATTTGGGTGGCATTTTATTTAGTATTTTTAAATCATCTTTTTATTTTTGACAATATCTGTACATTTAGTTTCCTGCTCTTAATTGTGAATGCATACTTGATGGTTTTAAATGCTCCTGAAATTAAGTGCTGTTTGACAAGCCTATATTGTGTTAATGTATGTGACGTTACTGAAGGCCTAAGGTTGAAATGCACGGCCCGCCAATACTAGCAACACTGTAATGTACAGCATTGCTAATACATTGCAGGAGAAGAGTTTTTGGATTCCTTTTTTTTTTTTAATTTCATGCCATTCATGCTCACTCTTTTTATCCTGAACCAACATCCCTCTGCAATCCAAACTGACTGAACAAGATGACCTCATTTCCAGTTATTCAAAGTCATGTTGGGGATGTGGTGAAGTGGGCACGGCCAGCGAGTCCCGCAAATAGCATCCAGGCAAAGCAGAGACAAAGGGATTGAAGAAGCAGCAGATGTGGATGCACCCACTTCATTCCTGGCCACTGCATGCCATTTATGAGCGGTCAGTGAATGACTGCCCACCAATCAGTGGCGGCGGCGGCGGCAACCATGTGCCAAGGTGACCTTCAGCGTTGGGTTAAAAAGTCAGATGATGTTCCGCTGCCATCTTGACTCTACCAGCGCCCGCACTGCTCTGCCACAGCACCGTGAGTAAACTGTCATCATCATCATCCTCATCCTCACTTCCACCACATTCATCTAAAACCTTGTTACCTAATCAGCAGCTCAAAGGCAAAGATTTTTAAAGCCACTTCCAAAGCACAACTCGGGTAACAAAGTGGCATCTAATAATTTGGTAATACTTTGGTTCGAGTGGTGGTTTCGCAAAGATTTGTGACTCAAAGATGAATCAACAGTTCCAGTGCAGTAAATGTAAAATCAAAGTCAAAACGTATGGGTGACTCATGTAAGCGTGGCACGGTCTCTATTGTAAGGTAAGGTGTTAGCGACTAGTGTAAAATAGACTTCGGTTGAAGTAACAGTGCCTCTTCACATAATGTAGTCATGATTTCTAGCACAATTACTTTTAATAACACAGCAAAAACATGTGCAACAACTTGGGTTGCAAATAACAGCAATTCAAATAATGTCAGCGCCTGCTTCTATTATGTTGTTGCAAGAATTTGCGCATGAAAGTCCAGTAATTTAAGTAGAGGCGGTGGCGTCTATCCATTTAATGTTGTAGCAACCGCATATGTAACAAAGCACTGTTTCGTGCTGTCATAAAACCAGAGCATTAACATGTGTACCATTGAACAGCTCTTAATTTAGGATGACTGGAGTCACATCATGGCATTATTTTCCCATCTCTGTTTTACTAAAATGATACATCAGAAAAACTGTGGAGTTAATAATGTGTCATTTATGTCACATTTTTAGGGATCATTTTGGGTTTTTAACACTGTGTATTCATCAGTCGTTACAAGTCAAGTGCGACTGACGCTCCGACACAACTGACAGGCCAAGGCCACTTCCAAACATATCATTGAGCAGCAGTGGGAGCTCTGTTTATTGTGCTTTTGATTTGTGGCAATTTGCTCAAGCAACCAAGTGAATTCCTCAACCTCATTCTGCTGGAATCCCAACTTGATGCCGCTTAAGAGGCCTAAAAAAAGACAATGGCTCTGCATGTCGCTAGTTTGCATTCTGCACGTGGACTCATGGCCGCCACCCAATGCTTTCAAGATGAAGCCGAGGTGAGCTGTTCGTGCCGGCACTAAGCCCCAAAATGATGCTCATTCCAGTGTCAAAGCTGGATAGCGTCAGCATGCTAATTCGAGCCTCCTTTCACATATAGAGTTCCTGCAACATTCACCAATTAAAAAAAAAAACAAATCTACACTGAGTATTGACATTATTGACTTATTGTTTTCAATACAGATGAACGACAGAAAAAAATGACATTGTAAATAGTGTGCATAAATAGAATCACTTTGTGTGTCCTCAGATGTCTCGCTTCTTGGATCTGAAGGACTTTGGAGATGCTGCTCGATACCTTCGTCTCACCAACCTTGAGCAACTGGCAGCCATTGCTCAGGCCTTTGATGGTAAAGTAACGCTCGTCCCCACACTCACTAGCAGGCTTACAAAATAAACAGCTACTCAACAAACACAACTAGGACACCCTTCGACGACAACAGTCTCAATTACAAACATGACAATTGCTAAAATGACAGACTAAAAAAAATAAATGAAAAAAACAGCCCCCACCTCAAAAAAAAAAAAAAAACACTTCGAAGCAACAAAGTTGGATACAATTTTAATTTGGGCACTTGGACAAAATATTTTGGTAACACTTTATAATAAGTACACACCAGTAAGCATGAGCTAATGCTTACTGGTGTGCACCATATACTAATATTAAATTAATAATCATAAGTATATGGTTAGTAAACACAACTATAAATGTTTTACTCATCACTAATATATGTCTTAGTAAAATATGAATAAATACCGGAGTTTATAACTGATAAAGCATCTGTCTGACATGGACAATCATTAGTCATTGATGATAGCAGGTGCAAACATTTTACTCATCACAAATAAGCTCATCCATAACATGCTTGATGATTGCATTTTAATACTTTAAAGATGACAGATTCAACTGTTCAAGATGATGTCTTGCATAACTTACCCATCAGTTATATAAGAATTGTCAATGATTTATGAGGTCATTTAGAAAGTCATCACCCCAGTGATGAACAAACTATTTGCATGCATGAACTTACACATAAACCATTCAGACATGTAGTAATGGTTAGCGAGTGTCTTAGCAGACGATTTTTAAAAATGTACGCATTTCTTTTCCAATAAATGTCTCTTTGCACTTCTTAACACGACTCAATTTTTTCAGGTAGTTACACAGCACTAACCAATCATTCAGTATTCTGTGTGAGACCATCTAAAGTGAGCACTATCGATGCCTTATAAAGCATTTATAGATGAGAGATGTAAACACTGACAAAGCCTCCACACTCACACAAATCTGTTATGCTAACAAAGGAAAGACACAACTCAAAGCAACACAGAACAATATTGCCTTCATATTTACATTTAAATCTATTTACTTTGAAATTAATGAGGGTAAACGTCGCCAAAAAAAAGAAAACTCAATATTATTTGCGACACGTTTTATATATATATATATATATATATATATATATATATACACACATGTAAAACGAGAAACACAACACATAAAAATGCAAATGAGAATGCATGCGCAGAGTAGCTCGTAAAAATTAAAATAGGCTGTTCAATTCTTCAACTTTGCAGCTTATACTAGCATTCCTGACATTTCTTATGACATCTATCGACTGCATATACACCCATAGTGAAAATTATATATGAAGATGATACTCTTGTCGCGAAGAACAATCACCCTCGCAATATCACATCATGTGAGACCAGCCAGGAGTCGAACAATGGTACAACAGAGCTCAACGGGACCAAAACAGGAATCCAGAAAGAGGTGAAACTACAGTACATGTCACATTTTGTCTTTGGTTCCATTTTGTTTAACTTCTTCAAATGTCTTTACCCTTCTTCCTCCTCTTATCCTATGATGAATATTTATTGGAGGAGGGGTCAGTCACAGCATCACCTTCCGTTGAGCTGTCAGACAAGGAAGATATGGACAAGCATACTGCTTGGTGTGACACCTGTTTCCTCTTTTTGAAGAGCTCTTAAAATTGATTCAAACATGAGGCTAACATGGCACACATGCAAACACCAAAACACACATGCAAACTCTCGAGCGCAGAGATAAACTTACGTGAGACCCAAAACGATACTATCTCGTGTGCATGGGGAATTACCTAATGCCAACTGTTCTTTTCGATCGTCTCTCTTTCTCTTTCCTCTGGAAGCTCTTCAATCTTCTCCTTTTGTAACTTGAGCCTCACGTGACAGATCTCCCAACGCGTGGGGTTGTCTTTCATCTGCCAGCTGTGTAGTAGAGGCCATGGACAGACCTAATAGAAATAAACTATTCATTATGAAATGCATCTAAAACATGACATTGCAACTCAGTATGTCTTCAGACATGCTGATATTTTAGCATGTCTTTGTATTTAAAAAATGTAAACCATGGCTCACAAGTGAAATACATCAATTTATATTCACTATGTGTTCCGACAATAAAATATGTGTGTGTACACATGTGCATGTCATTAAAGTATTTTTGTCAACATTCAAATACCGTATTTTCCGCACTATTGGGGGCACCAAAAAGTCTTCAATTTTCTTAAAAGCTCACCGAGCACCTTAAAATCCAGTGCGTCTTTTGTATGGTCATTACGGTAAGACATCGACTCCAAGATGGCTCCTTCCTGGAGACATGCTTCCAATGTTATAACTTGCTGTTGGTTCAGTGAACTGTGTTGCTGCTTTATTAAATAATTATGTGTTGCAGCTCCGAAAAAAGGAGAGCTGTGGTGTTCATTTTTTAAAACAGTCTCAACAAATACAGGTACGTCTTTGTCTATCTCCGTGCTTTCTTCCGTTTGACTCGAGAGGCGTTCAAGACCGCCACCGAAAAACGTATACTAACAATTACTTCAATGAAACTACAAAAATTGAAAATAATACATCAAAACTGAAAAGCAAGCGAGGATATAACAAAATAAATTCTATTCCCCCCTCCCCCCGCACAGAATTTATATTGTGAGTTCATCATTTGTGAATACACAACAAAGGAATAAATAACTACGACTGACATCTTGTGTTATTTTGACTTCAAGATGGCGCCGCGAGAGTGGCTGCCTTTCCAGCAGCTCCTATTTATTTTGTTCTTCTACTTCTTCCTCTCATAACTTTGCTGCTGTGACGTGGGAATTTCTCCATTGTGAGACTATTAAAGGTTTTCTTATTTTATCTTATCTGATTGTACTCTTGGAGCTACGATCAAGGAAATGCCAATGGGTTTTTCGAAGGCGGTCATGAACGCCTCTCAAGTTGACCGGAAGAAAAGAAGGGAAGGAGACGGACAAAAACACACCTGAGTTTGTTGAAAAAATGAGAGCTGTGGTTGTGGTTTTATTATTTTTTTAAACGCAGACTTAATAATCGTTTTCACAGTCTCAGCAAGTACAGGTACTGTACGTCTTTGTCCGTCTCCGTGCGTTCTTCCGTTCCACTCGAGAGGCGTTCAAGGCCGCCTACGAAAAACGTTAATTAATTCTTACTTCAATGAAACCACGAAGAAAATCAAGCGAGGAAATCAGAAAATAAATTCTGTAGCGGGGATATAGAATTTATTTTGTGATTTTCTCGCTTGATTTTCTGTTTTGATGCATTATTTTCAATTTTCGTAGTTTCATTTAAGTACAGTAATAGTTAATTTACATTTTTCAGAGGCTGTATTGAACGCCTATCAAGTTGAATGGAAGGAGCGTAGCACCATCTAGTGGACGCATTGTAGATTGCGCCTTTTAGTGCGAGGCGTGTAATATATAAAAAAAAAAAAATTCCAAAATAGCCATTCATTGAAGGTGCGCCTCATAATCCAGTGCGTCTTTTCGTGCGGAAAATACGGTACTTTAATTTGTATTGATGAAACATGAAATTCATTAAAACTGAATATCATATAGATCTTTTCTCTTTTAGTAACTTCAGGTGATTCTCTCTGGTGTTGTGTTGCCAGACAGTATTTATAAATGTTCTGAATGACTCCCCTAATATGTGAACAAATACTGTTATTTCGTCTTTTCACACATACAAGGTAGTCAGCGTTCATCATATCTGTCGTCAAACAAAGAAACATACTCACCACCAGAGGCACTGACAGCCAACGCCGACACCGATGTTTTAATTTCATGCCGGTGTTCTTCGTAGGCCGCCGCTCCTGCTCGACTCCCTAGTCCAGGGGTGGCCAACCCGTGGCTCGCGAGCCGCATGCGGCTCTTTGGCCGGTTCAATGTGGCTTCCGGGCTTTCACATGACAAGCGTCGAAAACGCCTCGGCGATGGCGCTGCCATCCAAACAATGGTGCTTAAAACACAGAACGTACTACGTCAGCCTATCATCACTCCCGTTACTTGATTGACATAGAGGGCAACCAATCAGATGACTGAATCAACGCTCATGCGCAGACAACGGCGCTCAGTGCTAAGTGCTAAGCTAGTCAGCGAATTACCTGTTTTTAGGGCAGGGGTGCCCAATACGTCGCTCACAATCAACCAAGAGCCAGCAGACTGGTCCCAAGTCGACCGCGAGTGGTGGGAGGAGGAAATGGGGGCAAAAAAAAAAAGATTTGTGTGTTTGTTTCTTAAGGTTTTATTTATGTTCGGGCGCTCTGGCTGTAGCTCGTTGTGGCTTGCATATGCATGCATGTGCGCGAGTGCATGGTCGTGTGTATGTGTTAGTTAGCCGTTTAATCTGTGAAGAGCATTTTGGTGATTGTGAACACGAGGAAAACAAAAAAGTTGCCTTGACCAGAGTAGATTTTATTATTACAGTGATCCCTCACTTATCGCGGTTAATGGGGACCGAGATCCGGCTGCGATAAGTGAAAACCCGTGAAGGAGGGTTTGCTTGCCCCCTCGGAATTTCAAAGTATACCAGCATGTTTGAAATATGTAAACAGTAATTATACTTTACATATTTGTGATGAACACTAGTACATGTATTTAAGATAAGATAAGATAAGATAACCTTTATTTGTCCCACACTGGGGAAATTTGCAGTCTACAGCAGCAAAATTGGGGGGCGGTGGGGTAGAAAAGAAAAAAAAACAAAGTGTTACATGTACAAGATAAATGTTTCAGAAAAATAATTTACTTAAATCTTTCATTATAAAACCTGATACAGTAATTACCATTCATCAGCACAGCCTTCTGAGTGAGGGCAAAAGACTTGTTTTGATGGCATAGAAGGCGAATCTCACTTTACGCTCTGTCGGAGTAGTCGCCTGTAGCCTCCAGCTTGCTCCTGGCCAGCAATCCCCCGCACAGTCGATGTGTTTATGATAAGAGATGAGGAGGAGGCGACGAGAGACTGCTGCTTTTTCGGTGAAGTCCATCCCCCTGCTGCGCACGGAGCAAACACA